CTCTACTACAGAGCTATAGTAATAAAAACAGCAAGGTACTGGCATAGAAACAAACAGGTGGATAAATGGAATTAATTTGAAGACTCAGACATAAATCCACACACCTTTGGACACCTGATTTTCAACAAAGGAGCCAACATTATAATGGAAAAAAGAAAGTATCTTCAACAAACAGTGCTGGTATAACTGAATGTCAGCATGTAGAAGAATGCAAATAGATCCATATCTATCCCGATGCACAAAACTCAAATCCAAGTGGGTCAAAGACCTTAACATAAATCCATCCACACTGGACCTAATAGAAGAGAAAGTGGGAAGAAGCTTTGAACACATGGACACAGGAGACCACTTCCTAAATATAACACCAACAGCACAAACACTGAAAGCAACAACCAATTAATGAGACCTCCTGAAACTGAGACGCTTCTGTGAGGCAAAGGACACAGTCAATAAAACAAAAAGACAGTCTACAGAATGGGAAAAGATCTTCACCAACCCCATATCAAACAGAGGACTGATCTCCAGAATATATAAAGAACTCAAGAAACTAGAAATCAAAATACCCAATAATCCAATTTAAAAATTGGGTACAGATCTAAACAGAGAATTCTCAACAGAAGACTTTCAAATGGCTGAAAGACACTTATGAAATTATTCAATATCCTTAGCCATCAGGGAAATGCAAATCAAAACCACTCTGAGATGCCATCTTACAGATGTCAGAATGGCTAAGATCAAAAACACAAACAACAGCTTACGTTTGAGAGAATGTGGAGCAAGGGGAACACTCCTCCATTGCTAGTAGGAGTGCAAACTTGTACAGGCACTTTGGAAATCAATATAGTGGTTTCCAACAAAATTGGCAATGATCTACCTCAAGACCCAGGTACCACCCTTGGGCATATACCCAAGGAAGTGTAATCATACCACATGGGCACTTGCTCAGCTCTGTACATAACAGCTTTATTTCTAGTAGCCAGAACCTGGAAACAACCTAGATGTTCTTCAATCAAAAAATGGATAAAGAAAATGTGGTATATGAATGAAATCATGAAATTTGCAGGAAAATGAATGGATCTAGAAAAAAGATCATACTTAATGAGGTAACCTAGACCCAGAAAGACAAGATTGGAATATACCCACTCGTAAGTGATATTAGCTGTTAAGTAAAGGATAACCCACAGTAGAACTAACCTGGGCTCATAGGAGTTCACAGAGTCTGAACCTACAACCAGGGAGCCTATGTAGAACTGACCTAGGAAGGCACTCTGCATATCTGTTATTGCTCTGTACCTTGGCCTACTTGTGGGACTCCTAACAATGAGAGCAGCAGCTGCTCCTAATCCTTTGGCTGGCTCTTAAGAACCTATTCCTCATACTGGGTTGCCTTACCCAGCCTTAACACAAGGGGAGGTGTTGAGTCTTACCACAACTTGATATGCCATGCTTTGCTGATATCCATGGGAGGCCTCTCCATTTCTGAACAGAAACAAGGAGGCGGTGAGAGGTAGGAGAATAGGAGGAATTGGAAAGTGAGGTGGGGTGTAAAATAAATGAATAAATTTAATTTTAAAAGATCCTATGTGTGGACAAGTTCATAGGAGAGTGTGATAGAGTCCTTCTTCCATGTACTGGAATCTATAGGAAAATATCTGAGAGTTTGCTTTTCTGAATGAAGGCTAAGAAAGCATTCATTCAACCTGGGAGGTTCTGGACCTTCCATATGCATAGTGATTAGAACTGACGATAGAGGCCTGAGTCTGCCTAGAGAAGCAATAATTCAGCAACATAAATGCAAAAGAGTTTGATTGTGCAGAAGATTGTTTTTTCTACCTTTATGACATGTGGGATCATAAACCCATTCACCTTGATGCTGGGTAATGAGGCCTATAAAACAAGTCATAAAAGTGCTTTGACATGCGTTTGGAAAGTGTAATCTTATGGAACAATCTCATTACTCAATGAGTGTGTACTTCTCCCAGAATCCTAGAAAATGAGAGGTTCCTGAACATTGGAAAAGTAATATCCTCCCTACCCTGGCTAATGTACTGAAAACCTCAGGGGGCAGAAGACAGACATAGTTCTTAAGTTACTTCACATCTGTAGAACTGAAACAGTCTTTCGTGCTCTTAAGAAGAAATCAATTTTGAAATGGCCCCAAAATATGTCTAAAAAGAGATGGATTTGAAATGAGAATCTAGAACCAACAGTACTTTAAAAGAGAAAGATGTTTTATGAAGTTACATTTCTTCTGCTTAAAAAGAAATTTTAAGAAAACTAAAATGACTTTAGAAAACCAAAATGTAAACTTAAAGAATTGAGACAATAATATTCAAAGATGATGAGTATCCCATGCTTGCTGCTTGTTAATTTTAACTGATACAAATTTTAAGAATTAACCTAAAAATTCTCATTAAAATTAAATTTTATTTTATGTATGCTTTTGAACCAACAATAGTACATCGTAACCAGAAACCATGTACATCTGAAATAAATATCTTCAGGTGTTTGCCATAGTGGAACACTATTTCACTAGAAGACATAGAATGTCTACTACAATTAGAATAAATCAATAAAATATTAGCCAAACCTCTAAAAGTATAGGTTAGACACTGGTGATAATGCTGGAAGGGTACCCTTCCATTAGTACTTAGACAGAAGATGATATATAGAATCTTTTCTCTAAAAGCAAATAACCAAAACATCATATGTATATATCTTTATGTCTGTAAGCTTGGAATTTTTAATGCTGATGACCTCGGAACAGCACTAAGCACTAACTTAAAGGGAATTCAAATCTCTATATAAGTGTCCCCCAAAATAATTCAGCATGAAAGAAATGGAATGTACTTCCTTATCCCACAACTCCATGCAAATTTTGTATTTCTTTCCCACCTACTTCTCAGCAAGCCACAGCAGATAAGCATTCCAACATGGATTATGAAGTCTCCTAGTGACAAGTAAAAAAAAAAAAAAAAAGGTTTTCATATAATGAGTTCGGAAAAGTGATCATTATATAATATTTTAACTTCTTAAAATTGTCTTTTAATACTTACAATTTAAGATAAAATTATTTTTTAAAAAAGTTTAAATATTTAAAAATTTAAATAAACATATACTACAACTTGTGAAGATTTTGTTTTATCTTTTCAGGTAAAATATTAGTTATAATTATGAAAATAGTAAAGCATTGTTCTCTTTTCTTTGTTCAGGCAATGTTTGTTTAGTTAGTTAACTTGTGATATTTCTCTTTGTCTTTAAGAGTAATCAAATCTAGACATTACTGTCTCTATCAGAATAAGGAAGAGTCCTAATGAGTCTCAAGTCATTCCACACTGATTTTCCTGTCAATTTCAAAGTCTATCTTCCACATCAGCCAAAATTTACATAGAACATTAATAAATACAAATGGGCCATTTTAATAATTTTCTAGGAATGAAATCAACTTGTTTGAGCCGTTGGTGTTTCATTTTGACTGTTCCTCCTTAGACCCCAAAGTGTCTACCTCGGAATAGGCTTTTCTGTGTGAGGATGTGACTTGGGTAAGTTGAGTTTCAGTTTTCCCTGGAAATTAGGAGGTTTGAGCACAAAAGTAACTTATATGCATTGCATCAAAACACCCAGTCACATTTGGGTATGTGACTACATCATCCTAAGATTAAACTCAATGCTTTTTATTTCATTACTTCCAGGATCTAGCAGAGTACTTGACATAAAAGGTATTAAGCTTATTGAATAAATAAAAGTATGAGCAATTGGGCATGTATATAACCCTTTAATTTAGAAGAATATAAAGTTGCTAACCTCTTAGAGTTTAGCTTGCCTCTTACATATGTGAGAATCTGATCAAGTGAAGAAAGTAAAAAGAATTTACATTCATGGAACTGTAAAGTATTATGACTACAAGACCTGTGTGGAGAAGCCAAAGGAAATTCTCCTAGTCTTGAGATGATGGTTGTGAACGATTTCATAAAGTCTCACAATTCCACCCCTGGAGAGATTCACAGTCTCAGATACACAAATGTGGATGGCTTCACATTCGATTACACAGTTGAAAAATGTGGAGCTTGGTGAGCTTGTTTTGAAAGTTTCTAGCACACTTTTTTGCTTTTGCATTATTGTAACCAGACGCTTGGGACACATTTTTAACAGACAATAAGGTCTCAAAAGATTGACGTCTAGACAACCCAGATGTACTAATGTAGATGATAACCCAAATACAGCATATGTTATATTAAAAAATGCCAAATGTAACATGTAACTGCATAGTTTTCTCCACCTCTAGTGATTTCCAGTTTCTGAAAATCTTAGGAGAAAAGCAGTAAATGGGGCTCTTTCTGAGTCACTGGTTACCTGGTGACCAGGAGTCACATTTCCTTCTGTTTGTACTTTGTAAGATTCAAGGGAGAAGCTAATGGTATTGCTAAAATCGCTTCCTTCCTAACATCTTAAATTTTTATGAGTTAATTCTATTGCATTTCAATGATTCTACTTCAAGCTTGAAAAAGCAACAACATTAAAAGCAGCGTAATCCTGCATTCTCCAGTCTGTAAGGACAGCTCACATCTTAAACAGCCACGTGATGGTCTTCGTTAGCTCAAGATGAGGCACTGTTGAGGCTATCCAGCCCATCGTATACATTAATCAAATTAAACTAATACCTGGCAGTCTGATGCTGTCCAAACAAATACTGGACTCCCTGGATAAACAATAAGCAACCATAATCGCCACCCCCCATCAGCTTTCCCTTCCATCTGAAAATCAAACAAGGCAAGGGGGACTGAGTCTCCCTGGACCAGGGTACTCTGAGGAGAAAGAAGTCTAAGCAAGGGATCCCCACCACCTGCTGCTTTCTTGACTCCAAAACTCCATTTCCATCTATTTCCAGGGAAGAGAGAAATCTGAAGGGGAGGGGGAAAGGTTGGCGAGAGCAAGAGGCGGGAGCTAGGAAAGGGAGGCAGGAGGAGGCGTGGCCCGGCCTGGGGCCGGCCGGATAAATACGGAGAACTGGGTGCGGGGTGCAGAGAACTCCGGAGGACGCCCGAACGGAGCAGCACCGCGGACAGCGCCCGCCGCTCCGCGTCCAGCTCAGCCTGCGCTGCCCTCTCGCCCTGAGGTTCCTGCTTCGCGCTCTGATAACTCGCCCCTGCACCATGGCAGAATCCCACCTGCAATCATCCCTGATCACAGCCTCACAGTTTTTCGAGATCTGGCTTCATTTCGACGCTGACGGTGATTATTTTCTTTTTAACCCCTTCAAGACCCATTCCCATTCCTTCCTTCCCTGCCCTTTCGCTCCAGTGATCCTCTTCATCTCAACCGCCCTTTTCTTCTTCCATCATCCTGCCTCATCTTGTCTTTTCACCCGTGGCTGACGATCCATCAGCCTGGAAGTTTGCATTGCTTGTATGGCACCCCCACGCTGTAAGCGTTCGCCTTTCTAGGAACAGCAATGGTAGGACAGAGAGCAAAAATTGGGAAACCCTGTCCCCCAAAAGTTTCAAAGGCTCCCCCCAAACACCCCCACTCTCTTCCTTTGCCCTCAATGTGGTTGAAGTTTGACACTTCTGCAGGAGAGCGCTACAGCAGCTGTCCCCATTGCTGATTAATCAGGGCTCAGGCTACCTAGCCTCCCAGGACAGCTATCCTAGAAAGGACCAAGAAGAAACTTAAACAAAACCTCTTTGTCTTTGCAGGAAGTGGTTACCTGGAAGGAAAGGAGCTGCAGAACTTGATCCAGGAGCTTCTGCAGGCGCGAAAGAAGGCTGGATTGGTAGGCTTGGGCTTGTGAAAGTCTAAAACATACCTATTCTTGTCTTTCATGAAAGAGGTTTGGTGGGTGAAAGTCAAGACTTACTAAGAAAGGCAAGAAAGAACGTCTTTCCAAATTGCGTCAGGAGGAAAAGTGTGGTGTGGTGTGTGTGTGTGTGTGTGTGTGTGTGTGTGTGGTGTGTGTGTGTGTGTGTGTGTGTGTGTGCAGGGTAGGAGAGTCTAAAAAAATCCCTGTTGTCTTAAATCGGACATATATAGTCTATATCCGTCTTTTCCTTAATAGGTCTTAAAAGGGAACATTGATGTGTGAGACCTTTTATCAGATGTGCATCTGTATCGCTGAGTTGGTTGGATGATTTTTGACTTCTCTTTCTTAGACACTAAGTTGGGGGTAGAAATACATTTCTGCCCCTTTGTGGCCAAGAGTAGATCTGCAGTTTCTATTGCCAATTTTTGCTGCGATGTCGGTGTAGCTGGGGGATGGGGGTTGAGGAAACAGCTTGCCTTCACCCTTATCCCTGAGAAAAAAATAACCAACTTGTAACATAAGTGTGAATGAGAATTTGGCAAGAAACTTTTTTTATTTTTTGTTGGAGAGAAACTCTAAAATCAGGAAAGCAATAAAACAAAGCACTTTAAGAGTTCAATGTATTGTAGAATGGAAAAATTCTGTTGAGAAACTATTAGAAATGATTCTTAAAAAGCTATAGTTTTGACTTAAACCATTGGTTAGACAAATGGTAATTATTGGTTATAAATTGATTCCTTTGGGCCAAATGTATTTGTTGGGAAAAGATGATGTCAACATAAAAAATAAAATGTATCCAGCCAGCTTTTAATCATATGAGATGTTTGTAAAAAAAAGAGAACAGATTGAGAAATTTACAGGTCCGTTGACATTTATGTAAGACTGCCTTTCAGACAGCAATGTTGGATTTGGAGTAGTTAAATATTAATGTTCTTCATTTCTTAGACTATGATTACAAATACATTTTTACATTGAAGATGATATCCATATCATTCCTAGATATCATGTATCATGCCACCATTTTCAGTGCTGGGGGTGTGATGTACTAACAGGACTATGTTTGCTGTTTTGTTATTCTTCTGTCTATGGTGAAACTTGTATAATAGGCATCCTTATACAACATATCAGAAGGAAATCCCACAAGGTTGTAATGTACTCTAATGTAAGCAGATTATGAAGTCGCTAAAATCTTGCCAGACTGACTGTAAACTGGATCATGCTCTGGGGAGTCTTTAGCTCAAGTCTAATACAGTATAATCTAAAAGTGTAATAGAACTAGATCCAATAAAGATGTCTTCTATGCACTTTGCCCCATTTCCACCATGTGCATTACCATGCAAATAAACTCATGTAATGCTAGCACTGTGGGCCTCTGGGTCTTAGCTGATGAGATTAAAGTAATTTGCTTCCTCACTTAAAATAGAGTAAACACATATGGAAAGTTTTGTTTCTCATATAAATTATAATTACAACCTTGGATAGTGCTTCTAACAGCTAAATGAACATATTTCAATTATCCAGAAGTAACTTTAGTATTACTAGAGATTTACTTCCATCCTATAAATACAAATATTCATGAGTTCTGTGTTTTTCATAGATTTTTTTTCTCCTCATTTTAACACTTCTACTTTTTGTATATGTATGTGTATATATACATATATATACTTAAAAATATTAAAAAAAACAAAGCAGAGTTTGGGTGGGATATATAGAGTTTAAGCTTATTTTTCTGCTTCCTAATTTGATTTTGATCTGTAAGAAGCCTTAATCATATTATAATTTGATAAGTCTCATCTTTTGCAAAAGTATATGTCATATCAAGTTGCTTAATACCTTGATATCTGGGTATTTTTATGGATTATGTAATAGACTGGTTGGATAACTAAAATCTCTAAATTAAGATCTAGATTAAGAATTCATATATATTGGGCACATTTCATTTATACTAGTGATCTGCTGCCATAAACCTACCTTTATATATTTCTTTTCTTTAAAAAAAAAAACACATGTGCCGACCTGATAACCCAGACTTCTTCTCATATTCTGACTTATTGAGACAAAGAGAAGCATTTATTTGGTTCATCATAATAATGTGAAATTTCACGTCTCCACCAAGTGACTATGATAGCCCAGGAGACCATTTCTGAGCTCACTCTCCTGCTTAAACAAGGTCTCATCTTGGGTTTACTCTCATCTTCATGAGTCTTCAGTTGATGGTACTGATTATACATGCTCCTCGTTACTTAAAACACATATTACAATCCATTTGCTACCCAGCAACTTTCCAAGCTACATACCAAGTCTGCTTCTAGAGCCAGTAATGTCATATCATTTTAATATTTAATAATACAACTTTGGTTTTGTTCACTTAGAGGTATATGAATATCTGGAATTCCTATTCCCTTTCTTGACACTATTGAGCCAGACACTTTCATTTTCTTATAGTTGCTTCTGTAACAGAATTTGATAGATGCAAATTGAAAAGTGCCCTTAGTAGAAGGGTTCTTTCAGGACCACAGTGTAATTAAATTAATTTATTGTTGCTTGCTACTTTAGTTCTATTACATATTTACAATTGTTTCTAAAGGTTAAGTGCTGGTCTTGATGCTTTAGAGCTTCTATGTGGCCCAGATTGTATTAGGCCAGCTATCTACCATAAATTTGTATGACTGACACTGTTACGGTGAAAATTGAGACCTTAATTTGCTTTCCCAAAGAGATGGAATAGGGTATTAGTAACAACTGGCCTATTTTAAATACACAAGTTCATGTAACAGAGACACTTTAATTGGGCTTTGCTTAAGACCCAAGGGTTAAAAGCTAAAATAGCTTACAACTCATAACTTTCTAATGTGTCAATATATAAAGAGATTTAAAAAGGAAAGTCAAAAGAAAAGGTAGAATAGTCTTGAGGCAAGGGTAAATAAGGGCAGCTTGGAAAATTGTTTCTCATGGTCCTGGGAAAGGCAAAGTTCAGACACGTATAATTTGTGGCCTAAAATATGGTCTTCGGTATTGCCCAACTCCTAGTGAAACACAAATTTGTTAGGTCATTTTCTTCTCTCACACTTCTCTCCCAACATTTAATTTTCTAATTGTATGTAATGAACAAACATCTATTTCAAGCCCAAAAGATTCATTGCCCACAAACGGGATCCCTCCACATATACATATTTCTCTTGTCCAAGTCAAATGCCGACTCCAACTCTCATAGACAAGATACTGTGTTAAAATAAGGAGATGTTATATGACAAGACTGTGCAGAAAAAATGAAATAAGACCTTCCATAAAGCAAACTTTTTAAAGTATATTAACAGCGATTCTATTTCAATTTTCATTTTTCTCTGCAGTGAATTATCAACGTCATTACAAGGACAGTTTTTCACAAACATCTTACCTGATTTTTTTTTTTATTTTAGGAGTTATCACCTGAGATGAAAACCTTTGTGGATCAGTACGGGCAGAGAGATGATGGAAAAATAGGAATCGTAGAGGTAAGAAACCTAAGCGCTTGTCTGATTTAATGAATGAACATGAACTTTGCAATTTATAGAGTCATTAAGTCAAGTGTACCTCACAGACAGAGGCCGTTCGATGTCAACATCCTATCTTCTCTTTCAACACACCAAATTAAGATGGCATAAACTTGAGAAGAAGCTGAAGAGTTTAATGCAGTCCCAGTCCTAGATTAAAAGTGTTATAAGGAAACTGAGAAGAGAAACGCTGTCTCTCTCCCAGTCCTGTCGCTGACATTAGCAGAACAAGCAAATCCCATCTTCTGGGTGAGCACTGCCCACCCCACACACCCTCAGCACAGTGGCCAAGTACCCAATTAATTTGTTAATGATTAGCAGGGTAAACTTTCTGTACTGTTTTAAAACCAAATGCTTTCAGTGCTGAGAAGGTGTGGTGGCAAAAGGCTGCATCCTGGTTTCTGGAATTCTATTTCATATTGACAGATGTGCCCTTATCAAAAGCACAAGGACTTTTCCACCATGAGTGAACACTTCATGATCTGGTACAGGTACACATTTAAAGAAGTTAAAGCAGTGAATCTTGTCTTTTGACGGTGACTTCTCCTCTTTAAGACATTGAATTATGTCTATAAATCAGGGAAAGGAAATCAATTATTTATCCATCTATAGTGTCTACTTGCAAAATAGTTGCTGCTTCCCTTATTTCTGTTGGTGATACCTCAGCTCTGTATAGCTCCGTCATCTATTACAATCTTGGTAGAAAGCTTTTTCTAGAAAAATAAATAAGAACATATTTCAAAATATGAAATATCACAGTCACAATTATGTTCATAAAGCCTCCTCAGTCTCTTCAGTTGTGAAGTGCCTTGGCCTTCAAAAGTTTGTGGATAGTTCACTTTTTATTTAGAAAGTTAACCTGGTTTCCAAATAATTGATCGTATTAGGGCACTTGTGGTGCCAGTGTGAAATATACAGACTTTTAAATGCCTACTACAGATAGAGTGAAGGGGGGACAGACTATTATTATCTTTGTAATTAAAACTTCTCCCTGGAGTGTATGCTTCTCCCTTTTGCCTGTGCGCGGCTCATTACTGTATAAATAGACAACTGTCATTGAACTTACAGCTGATATAGAGGCCGACTAATCAAGACAAGAATAATAAAATTATGCTTAAGAATGTAAGTGAGATGAGATAATAATTACTCAAAACTAGTTTGGAAGTCTAATATGAGTGATTCTTCTAAACTGGCAATTTCAGAATTTGGAGTGCTTTATAATTCTAGTTGAAGGAAGATTGCCATCTTACATTTAGCAATTTCACCTTGAAGCCTTCCAATGGACTCAGTTCTTTATTATAAGTCACTTATTGGGTGTTGTAAGGTTACATAGTAAAAGAATGGGGTCTATTCACAAGGTGTTACATTTTTAAATAGGTAGAATCGATGGATACAGATTATGCTGTGTGCGATACAGTCCTACCCTTTCAGATATAACGTTTCAAATTTCATGTGGATGAGAAGTTAGCACTCAGCAGATGTACTGTCTTAAGATACAGTGAAATGCAGTCTCCACAAGTTTGAGATAAGAACTGTTAGGCAAGAAGGGGTTTGTGTGCATAAAAAAAATGGAAGCAAAAGAAGATGAATAAAGAGAGAGAGAATAGTAAACCTGCCAAACAACATACCCTCGTGACACGGTGCACCGTACAGCTGTGAGCCCTTATCAGTTATTAGCCAAGATTTTGGAGGAAGCAGCTGAAAGAGATTCTCTAAAGAGAAGAGAATTTAAAAATGAAAGAATAGGAAGGAGATTGCTGCAGTGGTTCCTAACGCATGTCAAGGGTAACTAAGTAAGAGAGGAGAAAAGATAAGTCTTGAGGTAGGCCTGGGAAAAAGAAGTAAAATGTTGCAGAAAACAGGGAGACTGTGGGGAATGTGTGCACTCACGGTTTGCCCTCCCGTATCACCAGAAAATGGTACTAAATGCAATCTATCCCATACCCAACTTGATACGTGATCTCACCTGCTGAGAAATCCTGCCTATCACATGGTGCTCCAATATCAAAAGCCTAGCGGGCTAGGCAAGAGCAAAACCCCCATGCTTCCCAAGTACATCATAATCTCCTTCTTAGCCAGTACACGCTGCCTTAGTGTTCACAGAAAGGGGTTGAATTGACTTGTATGTTATACTCTTTTAATAGTTGGACCCCAGGCTCATTGAAGTCCAATCAAAGGAAACTAATAAGTATGCAGTAATCCGCTTCCCTGTGGGAACTACCCAAATGAATTAAAAGAAAGGAAATTCAGTACCTAATTTTCAATATTCCGACCTGATACAATAAACTGACACTTTCTATAACATGTATTTTTACCTACTCATATTCATAGGAAAAATGTTGGTATGTCTAATATCCTGAATGCGTTAATTTAATCACCTTATTAGATTTCAAAATTCACATGAAGATGGCTCAGAAATAACAAGACTGTTAATATGAACTCCAAAGTGGAGCATTGATAATTTGAGATAACTTAACGACTACCATGGGCAATCAGAAATGTTCTAAATTTATTCAGGCTAATATAGTTCTGCTGTAAAGAAGGTCCATTAAAATAATTAAGGAGGGAGAATGAATGGCTTAGCAGGTCATGGAATTCCTTTCTCTAGGTCTCACATGAAGTACACGTGGATGTCTCCTTCTGCTAGATGTCAAATCTTGAAGCAATGTGTAGGAATCTATCAGCCTCTCTAGACTTAGCATTCTATCTGTCCAGGTCAGTGAGTGCACAGAAAAAAAGAATAGATCTAAAAGCTATTTTAATCTAAAAACTGTAACTACAGTCAAAGGGAAGCAGACGCTTCTCTGGCCATCTCCTGTCTTCCACAGTGGGATTTAAGTGTGCACGTTTAGCCTAGGAAAAGATTTATTGGGGGGGCAGAATACTTACCTATTTTAGAACTGGAGAAACTGATTACTGGGAAAATAGGGTTTGAAATTTTGTTCTGGACATACTTTTTAAAATGAGTTCATAACTGATTTGAGTAAAGGGTGCTGATGGTAAGGGAACAATGTCTCATAACCAAAATTATTAGACCATCTGACTTCAAAACTGCCTCAAACTACAAGTTACATAAAAACAGTCTCAGGACATCTGCTTCCTGGACTATGAGCAAGCATGACTATGTTCTAACTTCATGTGTCTATTATGAGCACAAACATCAAATGAGATAATTCGTGTCAAACAAATAGACCATGGTTAAAACCTAGTATGCATATTGGCATTATCACCAAATACAGAAATGAGTTACTGAAAACCCTACTCTATTGTTCTAAATGCCAAAAGCTTCTTTCTCCTTCTTACATAATTTATTAAATTCAAGTTATTAAACTCAAATACTTTTAAGTTCATGACTATTTACCTTCCACAGCCCCTGGATTCGCTTCTCATTGGCGGGAAAAATGCTCCTTTGGCTTCCAAATATAAAAAGAAATCTTTGTCTTAAATGCTTAGGAAAGGTGACATGTCCCATAGTCACTTTAAATGTGTTGAATTCTGTTCTCGTGCATGTTGACATGTCTGTTGTAGCTATTTGTCTCTCTGTGAAGTCACCCTCATGGGTACTCTTCTGACACATAGCATTTGGCTTTATTTTTGTACGTATCTTTTGCTTAGAAATTAAGGGGAAAGATCTTTTGAAAAGATCTGTCTTCCTGTAAGAGTCTGACTGGGAGTAACTATGAATCACCAGCAATCGGCATAGTGGCCTACAATTCACCAGCCAGATAAGGCATGGCTACGATTTCAACTCTTTCTAAAGCAGGGGCCCCATATTATACTAGCGAGGGAAAGGAAATGGCAAAGAACATAAGTGAAACGCCTTTAGGGTTGAGTTCTCTGAAAGCAAACCTGAGTTTCCGTAGGAAATACGTGGGTATCACTTGCTACAGAAGTAAAGACAGCCCCTGGCCTGAAGGGTGCTGGGCCCCTCAATGGAGGCTTTCTCTGTAATGAGCTCTGAAGTGGGGGTGCTACTTCAGAAATCCCAAGTTTTGACCAAAAGGATAAAGCTTTGTGTGGTTTAACCATGAACTGCAGTCTCCTTGGAGGCATAGGCATCTTCAGCCCAGACAGTTCCTCTGAGGGGCAGCTGAGTACACAGCAGTATTTCTGGAAGCAGAAGCAGTTGCGGATAGTATCTCCCAAAGGTCCACCCAGCCTCTATCCACAGACCAGGCAAGCATCTCCCAAGGTCCATCCCAGCCTCTATCCACAGACCAGGCATCAGCTGAATCATGTCCAAGGGAACTTTACTTCCCTGGGTTTACAGCTGACAATCACTCATTGCATCAGGAAAATATTTATTGATGCAGTTGCTAGGCAAAGAAACAATCGAGAAAATCCTCAAGGATACAGGTAAGCAGAAAGAAGTTTGTTCCTCCACTGTCAGTGCCAAGCAACCAGTTCTATAAGCAAAGACCTAAGGAGTTTTGTCTGTATTCACAGCTGTCTGTCTTGCCTTCCATTCTCCCCCTTGTCTCATTCTACTATTTTTCTGCAATTCACACTAAAGATTGAGGACTTCAAGAAAGGAAAGTCAGGTGAGCCAGTGACTAAAAAATTACCAACAATCCTGAAAGCAGGACTAGGAATTTCTGTGGACATTAGTAACTTAGCCAATCTAAGAATAAAGCCATCCTACCGAGCATCTTCTGGGAAAGACCTTTGGCATATCCTAGACCTTCCTTGTCTTTAATTGCTACAGATGGAGAATCTCCACATCCATGTGAATAATGATTTGAATAATCATTTGAATAATGATTACTATGCATTGACAAAAGGATCAACAGACAACACAGGACCATGATATTGTAGAATTCACCTTGAAAATGAAGTCTTTCTATTTGCCCCAGGCACACATCAGGCAAACACATACATTGTTTTGAAATGGCTATTTTTGTCCCACAATAACATTTTATGTCAGTAAAGTTCATTTGTTTTTTAAATAAGATAGTACTATAACAAGTACCTTAACAGTTTAATTAGATTTAAAGAGAACATTTTGCATATAGATAAAATCAATATTTTTCTAATTTATATCAAAACAGTATGCACAAAAATATGCATCTATATTATCCATAAGGGACAGTGGCAGTGGTGGTGCCCAACTTTAATCCCAGTACTCAGGAGGCAGAGACAGGTGGATCTCTGTGTTGAGGTCAGCCTGGTCTACAGAGTGAATTCCAAGATTGCCTGAGCTACAAAGAGAAACTTTGTATTGACAAAAACGAAAAGGAGGAGGAGTATGAGACCATGACTCTCTTTATATTTGACATTCTAAAAATCTCTGGTCATTACGTGAGTCACATAAACTTTGCAAAACAAATTGGGTAAATTTTCCTAATCTTGCATCTAAACATTACTTACTTGTATAGTCTTTTACTTTTCTACTTTTAAATATTTGGTGGATTTTCAGAAGTATCCTTTTTAAGAGAATTCATTATTTCTTAGTTTAAGGCAACAGATATTTTATAAAATTCAAGTAACACAGAAAATGATGTAAGTAAAGGTTGTTGACTCTATAGCCTGTCAACGAAGTATTTCTAATTTTAAAAGAAATCACAAGCATGTGTTCTAGGCATGCAATATGCTGGGTTCCATTGCCTCTGGATGGGCAAATCATGAAGACTGGAAATTCTCTGAGCTCCTGAAATGGCCTGCGAAAGATCCACTCCAAACATTAAAAGTTGCATACCAATAAGCAAAGGAAGAGTTGAGATTGGCTATTCCAGTCCTAAACAGGTGCTTGCATTATCTGCAGCTGTGACATTTCACAGACTTGCAGAACAACACTAAACCTTCTCTATAGGATAGAGATACCGCTACCATCAAGTTCCGTAGGTCAACTTGACTCATCACTGACATGCTTCCTCATTCTTTATGACCTAGAATTTCTATTTTGTTACTTCATCCTCATCTCTCTCCTGGATAAGTCTTTCCTCCCTTCGCTCCTCACATCCTCTGAAGCCCTAAAAGAATCATTCTCCAGAATGCATTCTGTATTGTACACTGGTCTTTAGGAGCATGACTATTTCTCCTCTCTTTGGAGACCCTCTCCGTATCCAGTTCTCTCTTTCCTTTCTTCTCTTCTTTCTTAGCTTTAGGGGAGACCTGCTCTCTGGGTCTAACTTATGATTCTTTGATATTGAAAATCATTTACAGTAACTTTCTACTAGGGGCCCACATACAGGTGCAAAGGAAAGAAAAACTCATGAAGAAGATGAGCTCTAGATTTCATTGAGTATAAAGAAGCATGGCTTCTCACAGACAACAGTAGCAATCACGAATAAGTGTTTCCTTTGCATTCCAAGAGCGAAGGAGCAACCAAGTCATCCTCCTACTGTAATCAAGGAGCGTGGTGTGGACTTAATTTGTTTTGAGACAAGGTTTCTCTGTGTAGCTTTGGAGCCTGTCCTAGACTCATTCTGTAGACTAGGCTGGCCTCTAATTCATAAAGATCTACCAGCCTCTGCCTCCTGAGAGCTGGAATTAAAGCATGTGCCACCACAGCTTTTTGCAGTCTTAATTTATTAAGTAATCAAATTTAATTGAGTTCCAGAGTCTCCAAGTCACTAGGGCAGATCACTCAATCTCAGCATCCTCAATTCAAAAGTTTGTGCTTTGAATTATATTGAACTGTATTATTTCTGGGACACAGAATTTTGTAGGTAAAGCAATCAACTATGCAGATCAAATAAGACTTGACTGTAGTACTAAGATACCTGAAATATATGTATATTATATATATACATAATATATCCAATTGCACACTACAGTAATATAAGTGTATTTATAGACTAAACCCTGATTTAATTTCTAAAATCACTGCCAAATCGTAAAGCCCTATTTTCATATTTTAGGTTCATTATCATCTACCCACACTAGTGGCATTGGCTTCTAGTTAAGATGTTTTCTGACTGAATTCTACTAAATAGTCTAGCAAGGTTTATTTATTTGCCTTTCACCTTGTTGCAATCCCCATACATAAGGACTATGGACAGAACTGTTGTAATGTGAGGTATTTTTTTTAAGATCTGAAAACAGAGCACTTGAAAGCACGTGTTGCACAGCTATCAGGAACATGGGGTGGCTTGCACGTAGAGTGAACTGATGATTTACATTAAACTCCAAACTTCAATGGGACCAAAAGTTGGGAAAACTTTTAAGTAGGTGATTTAGTTGAGCATTTCAGACACCTTTTGACGTTAATGTTAATTTCAACCTCGGCTTCTTAAATCAGAGAGAGCGACCTACATGGGTCACCATCAATGTGGTAACAGTACAAGGTTTCTGAGAACACAAAAAACAAAAGTTAATTCAGAATTAAGAGGGTAGTGACCCCAAGGTGTTCCTGGGATCACCCACCTTGTACGACTGCAGCCTTGATGCCGACCACACGTGTTCAGCTGGCACTGCCCATGCGCTGCACCAGGCAACACTGCAAGCATTGCCAGGTCACCCCCCATAGGACTGCCACGTGCTGTGAATTGCAGTCTCTTTTGCTGTATGCATGAACTTTTCTGCTCTTAGAGAAACTCAATCATTTAATTACAAAAAAAACAGAGACTCCTAATACTTTCCTACTGTCGTTCCTCAGCACACAACAAACTTATTACATCTTTGTATGATGTTGCAGTATTTGATTTTAACGTTTTCTGTTAGAGTTGTCAAATTGAATTTCACAAAAATTTGTTAAGTTCTAGTTTGGGATAAGAACAATGTTTTCAACAATTTCTGTAATGATGTAAAAACATGGAAGTACCATTTTATATTTCACATTTATGTGAAATGCTGTTCACAGTAGTGACAATTTTACCGTGCTTCTTGGAATTGTCGCAGATGGATCCATTCTAAAAGACTGAAGATGCTCTGCACCCTGCAGTATCAAACATCCGGCTGAGATTTAATCTTCAGATAAAAACATTTTAGTTCATCTTTAATAAATGATAAAATTATATAAAATAATTACTTTAAACTAAATTGTTATGTCTTCTTATCAGTAAATGTTTGTTTGCAATTTTATATTTTGAACGCCTGGGGTCACATAAAACTTTCTCAGGAGAAAAGGGGATATGTGTGGGAGAAATTTAAGTAGCTGTTTTAGATAGGTTTAAAGTCAGTGTAACAAGGATAAAGGTCCGTGTCTGTGCTTCAGGGAATTTACCCACTGCTGAACATGAGTCTGACGTTGCATGCGAAGATTTACTCTTCAGTGGTGAAGAGTCCGTCATCCCAACAGCACAGTTTGAGCCAGGGACATTCATTTCTCCTTCACCTCCTTCTCCTAGTGATGATGATACTAAGGGCCAGGGCAGCTGGGGAAGTTGTCAGGGACCACAGCTCATTAGCAGCAGAGCCAGAAATAGAAGTCACGTCGGCAGCGGAGCCATCAATCCAGCTCCCTCCTTCTCCACATGCAATAGATTATATTAGTCTTAAAATGGGATCTGTGGCTCTTTATTCCTCAAAAGAGGAGGAGAGAGAGGTGGAGAGAGAGGGAGGGAGAGGTGTTGAAGTTACAGAATGAGATCTCAGGGGAAATGTCACAGAATCAAGCAGTGAAAAACAGAAATTACCTTGAGCCCCAGATTCAAGCAGCACATATACTCTGACAGAGACCACAATTTAAGAGTGCCCCTGTTTGTGTCTAGTTCTTCCTATTTAGTGCCTATGTGATGTGCCTTTCTACCTCTTCCTATTGTTCAGCTGTTGCCTTTGGTCCTCCTCCATTGTGTTTCTCTCCCAAATTAAATATGTATAATTTTCTCTTCCTTCCTTTCACCTATATTCATGTTTCTCACAATTTCTCATTTCCCATGAAATCTAGAGTCATAGTGTGTGCCATCCTGTGCACGCAGAAAGACCTGAGACCTGATCAGTGGTATAGTGCTTCCTCAGGAGGCATCTGCTTGTGTGTGCAGCAGATGAAAACGGGTCCACCATAGCCATCTCTTCAACTGGGCAGCCAGGTCCTCAGGGCACAGGTATTGGAACATGCCTAGGTGTTTTTACCTCAGAAGCAAAGCGTTAGAAAGGAAAGGTGAATTACATCTGTCTGTTCTATTAGTCAGCCGACACTTATTGGCTCCTACTTCCTCAGTCAATATCACTGCTCAAAGAACACATTAAGGTGAAGCTGAAGCAGCAGGTGGTGGCCCAGCCTCTTTCCAGGCTCCTCATCTCTGTTTTCCCATCTTTTCCAGCTGGCTCATGTCTTACCCACAGAAGAGAATTTCCTGCTGCTCTTCCGATGCCAGCAACTGAAGTCCTGTGAGGAATTCATGAAGGTAAAAATCACACGCCCTGGAAGACAGGTGCTGAAAGTCAGGAAGTCGATGGGCTCCGTAAGACTGATTTATTTAAACCTCATTTTCTGTCTCCACTTTCCTGCAGACTTGGAGAAAGTATGACACTGACCACAGCGGCTTCATAGAAACCGAGGAACTCAAGGTGAGTGACTCAAAGCTGAGGCTAAGCATGCTCCTTCCAGATGCAGCAATGAACTGCTAAGGGATTCATAGCTTTTTAAAAAACCTCCCACCAAAGAAACTTATGCTGAGCAGTGCCGATTGGCGCCCACTCTTCACATCATTACCGAAAAACCAGATCGAAAGACAGACTTCATGTGCTTCTTGAGATTCTGCAGGAAATTAGCATTCTCTGTGGTGTTCCTAAATGGTTACATAAGTCGGATGGGTGATAAGACAAACATACACACAGACAGACAGATAGAGGTAGATAGCTATGCCCAACAAATAGGCGACCACTCTCATGGAAATCTGAAATTTTATTTTATACATTGAATGCCTAGATTTTTCTTTGCAAAAACAAGCGACAGAGACATGTGTTGTGCCTTATGCATATTTATTTCATCTTTGCATATATTATAGGAAGCAAGCATTGCTCTAGTGAAAAAAAAACTACTAAAAGTTGAGACCTACCGAAGACCATGCAGAAACAAGACACAGGGCTGTGAGGTTTAATCCCAGATCCATCCAGATCCAAGGCCTTAGATATAGCCTATGACCTGCTGACTCTTAACAACATAAATTACACAGCTAGATTGTAGAAAACTGAAATTATGAAAATAAATCTACCAGTTCATATCTCACAGAAGTCATGAGGAAGTTGTTCTGAAGAGGAATATAAGGAAAAGGACTCTGAATCAGATATAAGCTCTGGACAAATCGCCATGTTATTCTACTATATATCATCTTTAAGGCAGGGACAATGATTCTGTGGAGTCTGAGATATGCCCAGTGGGGTGTCAAGTGCACAGCATAACAAACATATAACACTCCATTCAGCAGTGGGAACCAGTAGTCCACCCCGTTTCCTCCGGCCAACCAGAAGACCTCTTAGTCAGAAAGGACCTATTTCCTCTAAGTTCAGAATACAGAGTGATTGAATGGAAGCAAGGGCTAGCGTGATGGCTCTGTCGGTTAAGGCAACCACTAGCAAGCCTGACAACTTGAGTTTGCTTCTCTGGACCCCACATGATGGGAAGAGAATTGTTCTCTGGGCTGCACATGTGGGCCATCGCATCCATGCACTCTCACTCTGTCACACATGCATGCACACTAAACAACTTTTTTAATCTTTGAAAGGGAAGCTTAAGTTAATATTTAACTTAAGCCCAAATGTGTGCTTTCTATGTCACAGACACAGTACCGAGTGTGAAATGCGTCTCAGCATTTGTTCTTTAGGAAATCTGCAAGGCAGTTTACTGTGATGCCTAATATATAGAGAGACAGAAGTTTAGAATGCCTGGGGAACTTTTCACAATTACACGCCTGCCTGGGAAGAGAACCTAGGCTTGGCCCTAGAGCGTCTGCTAATATCAATAGCCATTTTTTCTTCTACAGCACTACAGCACTATGTGCCTCAGGTTTCACTCGCTGTGAGCTGCTTCTGCAGCTGCTTTGTGGGGAAATGGATGTGTTGCTTTCCTAATCATAATTCGACATGGTTTAAGCAGGACAGATTGGTCTGTGTGTGCCACTGTGAAATGGCTGGAACAGACTCAGCGGCAGCCAACACTTTTGATGTAAAGTTCCTCAAAACAATGTCTTTCAGAAACTGCTCTGCTTCTAGATCCCGCAAGGTGACAGAGAAGCTGTTATGGTTTTGCTCTTTTAGACAAAAAGAATGCTTTTTAAAAACTCATCCCATCCAGTATGTAATGAAAACCTTAGCACACTTCAGTACTGACCTCAAAATATCCCCCGAGTCTCTCTCTTTGTTCTAAATTCTATTCTCAGAAAGGAAATTCTAAATAGAAGTCCTCCTCCCTGGAGAATTTTTAAGATAAGTTGGCATTCTTTTTTAATGGATCTTTCAAGAAAGCTAATTTTAAGGAAAGAAAGCTAATTTTAAGATCCATAATAGAGTAAAACATCGCTTGCTCTCAGGCACGACTTTGAATCCTAGTGTCCCAAGGTTTCTCCACGGCTATTTTTGTGACCACCATTTCAGTGTCTGATGAGGCTTTTTAACCCAATTAATCTCTGACAAAAAGAAAACCTCAGAAGGCTCAAAAATAAAACTCACCCCCACCGGATAACTTTGAGTTTTCTGTGCTTCACTTTGGATCTAAAGCATAGTGGTCAATGTGGAAATAAATGTATCAAGCCAAGAAAGGGGTTTTTCCTTGAAAACTGTGAAGCCGGGTCCCCCTGACAGAGCTAGTTCCCTTTCAAGAAGGAGACAGAGCGCTTTCAAAGGCTCCAAAGGAAGACGGCCCTCCAGGACTCTGGGAACGGGCTCTGCTCGGCTTCCATAGCTGCATTAATTCGTTTCCTGAGGAAATCCAAGAGTTACAAATGAACAACAGTGGCAAAAAGGAAAGACTGTTACAGCCCTCGGTATTCACACCGGCGTTTACGTGGCAAGGCTTTGTAAAGCTTTCATCTCCGTGAAACAAAAATCAAACTCACTCCCCAGTTCCAACTGTGGAGTTAATAATCATCGTTTTCACCCTTCCCACATTTAATTTCTGCGTTAGTATGATTCATATGTCCCTCAAGGATTCGATATTACCAACTGGTGTAGCTTGTACCATCAGCGGAAGCATTTGAGCAATGATCATATAGATCCTGGGATTCAGAAAGCTAGCCACCAGCCGGTCTTGGAGAACAGCATAGCACAAGCAGCAAACTAATAGGGAAACACAGCCTGGGATGCAGCAGGAAATGCATTTTAAATTGTAGCTATATTTCCATCTAGCTTGCTGAACATTGTTCACACAGGCTAGAGAGATACAGACGGGGGCCTTACACTTGTAACAGGAAGAGCACGCGGATACGGGTGAAGAGCAGCATCCATTGGGCTGACTAAGTTTTGATTCAGAGCATTTCTCACCACACAGCCCACATCCTCCTTTAACTGTAGTCACAAGAGCACAACACAGCTCTGACTGGGATAAACTGGGTCTCAGTAAGAGGCAGGTATTGTGCCTGGCAAAGGTAGTTTCATTATTGGGATGCCACAAGGTCCACCAGACTAACCAAATCCTCTCCTCACCTGGCTCTGCCATAGAGGTCTTCTCTGTGTACCTCCAGGTATGCTCTGTTGCAGACTACATATCATCAACGGCATGAAAATTTCTGAGTGCTCTTTTTTTTTTTCTCAACAGAACTTTCTAAAGGACCTACTAGAGAAAGCAAACAAGACCGTGGATGATACAAAACTAGCTGAGTACACAGACCTCATGGTAAGACTGAACTGGAAAAGGTTTGGCCAAAGAGCTCATTGAACACATTGTGTTCTTGTTAAGTCTTGCTACCCAGGATGGAATAAACAAATCACAGCTTGCACATCACATAACCACAGATGAACATTTCTGCTAACACTGCATCACTTTTATCCCTCAAAAAAAGACTTTTCTTTAAAAGCCAAAGTGATCGTAGCGCTAAGTTATATAGTTTATACACTATGAAACTTATACTTATACATAGAACACAAATGACATCACCTTTTGCTCAAAGGAATTCTGAACTTGTTTTTTACTGTTGTTTAAGAAACCTAGCCAGGCAGTGGTGGCACACGCCTTTAATCCCAGCACTTGGGAGGCAGAGGCAGGCAGATCTCTATGAGTTTGAGGCCAGCCTGGTCCACAAGAGCTAGTGCCAGGATGGGCTCCAAAGCCACAGAAAAACCCTGTCATGAAAAAAAATAAAAATAAATTAAAAATTAAAAAAATAAAAAACCTTAGACTTTTCTAAAGTCTAATGAAAATTGTTAACTACTTTATTCATTAAATTACTTAAAGTGAGTTTCTTCTCCTTTGATTTTTATTATTTAGGGATATAATATCAGTGCTACGAATGAGATCCATAGCACCTTAAGCCTAATGTTTTGATAACTGTATAAACAAGATTTGTTATAAAATATGAACACTATAGCCACAAAAGTGCCTACTGCAAATAAATTAGCAAGGTTCTAGACAAAGTAAATGTTCGTACTTTGTCTCAAGTGGGTCATTTGTGAATCTTAACATATTATAGGATAGGATCGACATTATAGGATAGCAAGCAATATATATGCTTGTATTTTCTCTACATAGCATACAGTTATTGTGAGTTCTTACCCTGTGGGTTAAGTAAGCACATCATTAAACATTACTTCTACGCTGTGTTGGCTTCTGAGGTACTCTGAAGGACAATCTTCTGAGTTGCTGTTCTAGTCAGGAGCGCTGAGGTTCATGCTCCATCTCTGCACTCCTCGATATAGCTCCAGCTGCAGCAGCAAGCTGGAGGGATGCTCTTGCAGTGTCCTGAAGGCAAGGCCTAACTTCTCTTTGGCCCTTTCTTTGGGAAGTGAACAATAACCCACATTTATCAATTTTCTAGTTTGTCTCAATCTTAAGGGATTCTATTTAAAGTAAAACTGCCTTTCCAGGTAGGAGTCTGAAGCCGCCTTTCATAAACGATTCAGATGGGAGCTTCCCCCTGTTGGACTGGCCCAGTAGATCTGATTAAATGTCATAAACCAGTTCCAATCCAGGAAACAAATTAATCAAGAACTAATTAAAATTTGAATATATAGGTGAAGAAACATTTCCCTATGGACACAACACTCTGTGATCTAGTTGTCCAGTATCTTGGTAGACAGTGCAACAATATTAGGTCAATTACGGTCAATGGATTGAAAGATGTTTTGTCAGTAAAGAGCCCTGAACACTGATGTACTTCCAACAGAGATACTTAGACCTTCTCAAACCATAGAATGTCCTTTCTTTTTCCCTTGGAAACACCTTTCTAAACCTTTATGCACTGACTATACCACAGCCCTTTCCATATATACATGACATTTGTCATATTTTGTGTTAGCATTACTTTCATTCTGGCACGATTTACTGCTTTCTAAAAGTCTGAATGCTTCCTATGTGAGTATTTATGTGTGTGCACACCTCGGGATGTGATATGCAAGTGTACTTCCAAGTTAGGAGGTATCGTTAAGTTTCCCAATGGAAAATTAAACAATTGAAATGATTTGAAATAACTTAGCCTTGTTTACTTACTGCATTTGTTGATTTTTTGCTTTAGAAATAAAACAGGCTGTTTTAAAAATAAAACACTAAAATAATTTAGTGTTCAAGAGCTCATGCTGCATGCATTCAAGATGTATGATTTTTGAATGCTTGTCCCTTCCTTCAGTAATTCGTAACTCAATGGCCCCAATGTTGGCAATGTCTTTCAGCTAAAACTCTTTGATTCAAATAATGATGGGAAGCTGGAGCTGACAGAGATGGCCAGGTGAGTTTTGGGATTGCATAGGTGGTAGTAGAATAAACGGGTCCTCCTCTAAAATTCCAACCGACTAATAAAATGTTTTTCTCCCAAAAGGTTACTACCAGTGCAGGAGAATTTCCTTCTTAAGTTCCAGGTAATTGACTTTTCTCTACAATAGATAGTGTTTTTCTTAAAAAGTCAAAAGGTGGGAGATTTGTCAAGAAAAACAAGCTGAAATACAGATCACATTTTAACTGAACCTCTCTCCTGTCTCCTAGGGAATCAAAATGTGTGGGAAAGAGTTCAATAAGGCTTTTGAGTTATATGATCAGGTAAAAGTAATTTCTTTCCTTTTTTTCTTTTAAAAAAATTTACAAAAGTAATTTGACATGAAATTTATCCTCTTAAGATTACATATTTTAATATTACATTTCCTTCAGCGAAAGCCTTAGTGCCTTATGTGTTACATGGTTTCCAACTCTCTCCTCCCAGGCTGCAGGTCATGTTTTACTCTGAATGGTTCTTGCAGATTTTAGGCTGAGTTCCACTATCTCCCTGTTGTCTGTGCCCTGGGCTCATAACCCACAAGCTCTATGCTAAGACTAATGTCATAGAGTTTTCACCTATTTTATATTTAGGCATAGTTTCTGTTCTTGTTGTCTGGTTTTGGTTTTAGTTTTGACACAGGATCGCATGCTGGCTGGCCTGGACCTCACTATATGTACCAGACTGGCCTTGTACTCATAGAGGTCTACTGCTTATACCTGCCAAGAGCTAAGATTGAAGATGTGTACTGCCACACCTGCCTCTAGGAGTTTTGTATCTTCTAAACTGAAATATTTGCATTGAGTTAAGTTTTGTCCATATCAAAGACAGGAATCCAGCTCCTCCCCTTTTCCAGATGGATACATAGTTTCCCCGTACTTTTTGTTGAGGAGAATATCCTTGTCCTTGTCTTCAGCTTCCTAATGAAAGGTCAGCTGATTCTCTGCATGTGGACCAGTTCCGGAGCTCTCTGTCCTATTCCATCAGTCTACAAGCCAGTGTCTAAGTAATTACCACACTGTTTTAGCTACTGTAACTGTGGACCAGTTCCGGAGCTCTCCTGTTCCATTAGTTTATAAACCAGTGTCTAAGTAACTACCACACTGCCTTAGCTACTGTAACTAAGTACTGTATTTTGAAATCAGAAACTGCTGCCTTTTTGGTATTTGTGTGTTTGTTTGCTTGTGGGAGGAAAAGCATGCCACAGCCTGTCTTAGCCCCTGAGCCATCTTACCAGCCCAACACCTTCATTTTCATCCTTTTTTTCCTATAAACTATTTCAGATTTAGGTCTTTTGTGGTTGTTTATAAATTTTAGTTGTGTCTTGCATATTTCATCTTAAAATACCCCCGGTGTTTGGGAAGGAATCACATTGATTGTTAGAACTAAATAGTATGAACACTTTAACAGTAAAAGTATTACGTCTGCCAAGCTGCAAGCACGGGTGCTTCTCCATCGGTTTACGCCTCTGATGTCTCTCATCAGCATTTTACAGCTGTCAGTGCACATGAGTTTCTACTTCCGTTGCTAAGGTTACTCCTAAGCAGTTTATTCTTCTTTTAGTGTATTGCAAAAGAGATTTTATTTTCCTTCCATATAGTTAATTGTTAATGTATAGAAACAGAACTGATTTTTAAATGTAGGTTTTTATATTTTATGCCTATACTTAATTTACACAATAATGCCATCATTTTTTTTTATCTTGAGAGTTTTCTATTTTTAAAAATCATATTACTACTTCTTCCTTCTCAATTTTTTTCTGGTCTATAATTTCACCCATAAAGAGAACCTGGAAAGTACCAAAAGAAGATAAAAGCCCCAAACTAAAAAGAAATCATGACCAACAAATTACACAACTGATTCATTCATTCCACAGAAAACCTGCTCTATCATATCTCACATCACATGACCTTATTCAGATGCTAGCCTAAGACTTTTCTGCTATGAGACTCTGAAATCAGAGCCAAATCCTCTGAGCCACCGACTTGCTTGTAAACAGGAGCCAAGAATGCCATTCCCTGGAAGGGTTGAATGGACATTAAGTAAGGGGAAACATTCCACAGAAGTTTCCCACATTTAAAAAGGGGGGACTTTTTGAGAAACTTTTGTGAGAAAAGTTGCTTATGAGCTTGCTCGTTCATGCTTTTGGCTTCTAATTTCTCTATATACCTGGATCTAGGCTCTATATAATGCTGTCATCTCCTGTAGGCCACAATGTTCTCCTCTGCCACAGGAACGTGTCTAGTTTCATTTACTTATTCCTACTGAAAAGGCTTCTAACATAAAGTGAAATATTAAATACAAGAGTGTTTTGAAATTTTTGATCGATTTCACTAGCGTAAGTGCTCACCTGTTTTGCAACTGCGGTAAAGCTGTGTTAAGAGCCAGATGCACCGGTTAGACCCCTCCCGGAGGTGGATTTTCTGAGGACCACAGTTACTTCTAACATATACCATCTTATTTCTCCTCCCTCAGGACGGCAATGGATACATAGATGAAAATGAGCTGGATGCTTTACTGAAGGATCTGTGTGAGAAGAACAAACAGGTAATTGGGTTGTCGTGCAATTTATTTTCTAAGCAGACTTTAGGGAAGTACCCAGAAACAACCACACATCTGTTGTGGGAATCTACTCAAAGACTTTGCAGAGGAGCGTGAGCAGACTTTAATTCTTAACTCAAACTGAGTCCAGCCCAAATCAGTAAGTTGTGACAAACAGATTTGGGCTAAAAACAACCTAGTGGTTATTCGCATTTATTAAAAAATTTACCCTAATCTTTTCTTAATGTTGATGTAACAAGCAGTTTCTCACATTTTATCACTGGCCAGTGGTTAACTAACTTCCAAATCTCATTGGATTGCAATACTGTCTGTGCTCTATACAGGAACTGGATGTTAATAATATTACTACATACAAGAAGAATATAATGGCCTTGTCGGACGGAGGGAAGCTCTACCGAACAGATCTTGCTCTTATTCTTTCTGCTGGGGACAACTAGAGTTGGTGGCCACAACCACTTGCTAGTGATACATTGTATCTAAAAACATAACTGTGCGCTATAAAGGAGTAGGCTGTATTTTTCTTTTATATCTGTAAATCCTACTGCATAGAGATAATTATCCAGGATGCGTGGCACATTCTTTTCTGCTTGTTTCTATACTGTTTGTAATGTACAGTTTTTGTAACCAGATAATTGAAAAGAAGGAAGTCCATGCTTATGCCAATTGGTACAGTCGATTAAGAAATGAATCTAACGTGGTTTCGCTTTCATAAATGCAGCTGAACATTTGGAGTTCCCTAAAAATTCTACCAGCATTCTTGTCAAAAAATTCTAGTGTTGGATGTGCAAACGCACAACTGTCACTGAATAGAATATAAATCATAACAAGCCAAGCATTTTTATTTTAGAAGATCGTGGGACTGTCCCACCAAGCACTTCTGTATTGTTCCCATCAAGTGGAGGGAAGGTGCCTCTGCATCTGAAGCACAAAACGTCAATCAATAGTTAGTTAATTATGGCTTTATTATAAAACATTCTCCCTAGAGATTTAGTTTACTGATCAGTGACAATGTCTACTGCTTGAATAGAAACCACACTATTGAATCCTGGTGACAAGGAAAGGGAGCCAGATGACACCGAAATCTGTCTGATTCTATGTCTATATTTCCAAGAAGTCTACTGCCAGAGAATATGACTTTAGCCCATTTTCTAAATTATTTTCATGTGTTTCCAGATGACAATTATTCTAGTAAACTGCTGTTTTATGTCATATTTGCTGTGTACACTCTCTGATTAAATTCAATGTACTGAGTATCCTGGTGTCTAGTTTGCATACTTCCTGGATTTTCTATGTAGAAATGTTGACCTCCACCAAGGGTATCTATTGGCTCTGAAAATATTTTTTTTTAGCTATAACTACTCTATTTTTACTATGTAATTGATTTTAATGTAAGATTCATAGCAACCTGATTATTGAATGTTAATTCATCAAAATTTTTGTGTATCCTGTGGGTTCTATATTTCATATTGAGATCAGCATTCAAAATAGTTCTACTCCTATCTCCAGAGTCTCAGATAGGTTCAAGATAGAATCAGAAGAGAAATGCTAGTGTAATCATTTAGCTTATCTAGTAAATGATAATCTAAAACCTTCATGGGCTCACACGTAGCTCAATTTCATGCATTTTTAAGCTAGTATAGCCTATACTGGTTATAGATTGCAAATAATGACTAATGACCTTAGATTCTTTATTGCAAAGCAAAACCCAATGACAGAGTCTATGAGTTCATTGTTGCCATTCAAGAGTCAATGAAGGCCTGGATCAGCTAGAATATTCCTATTAAGCACTTTTTTTCTAGTTTTTAAAAATAACAACAAAAAATTGTGGGCCTTTTCCCTCAAGTGAATAAAAAGGGATCTGCCACAGAAAACAAAACAAACAACAAACAAAGAAAGAACCCCATATCCCATGTAGGGAGGGAACAACAGACTGGCTTTTTGCTGTAGGAATCATTTGGAAGCAGTGGCGTTACACTGAATTTAACTATTAAGAATAAAGAAAATTACATTACTCTCTCCTATTTGTTTCTCCCCCCAAAGTGCTAGTGGATATGTATTCTATTATCAATTAGGGTAGAAATGTAGATATTTTGAATCATTATATCTTAAGGGCTCTAAAAAAAACTTTGTTCAATGAATGGCTGACTATAAGGCTTAGACATATGGAGAGTTTTTGTGATTAACCAACAAAGAAATCCCAGAAGATCCAAATATTTAAAGAGTTCTTTTTTCTCAAGTTATTTAGCCACATATTTTTTTATGAAAGATCTTGAAAGCAAGAGGAATGTGCAAAGATCTTTTTAAATTTATAGAAAAACGGCTGTTCGACAAAATAGATATTAAAATGGCACCAAGTTTCGCATTCTTACAATAATGGTCGAACAAAATCTACAGTAGAAAAATATAATTGTAGTAGTTCTTCTCATGTTGGTTTATGTTTTATTAGGGGTTGTGTTTCTTAATTCATCTGTTCATTTTTCTGAGGCAGGGTCTCACCAGGTAGTGCATACTGGTCTTGAACTCTTGATCCTCTTGACTTAGCCACCCTAGTAACAGAATTTTTCACACAAGTGGCAAAGAAAATACAAATTATTCCTCAATATTAACATTAAAATAAACACAGTTGAGAAACAGGTAAGCTGACTAGGTATTCACAAGAGGACATTTCATTGTCCAATAAACATAAAAATAATCAATTTCATTGTTAATCAAAAGAAACACAAACTTTAAAAATGGGATCCTACTAGCTGCTCCTAAGAGAGTTGATGAGGTTGTCGTATAGTGGAAATCCCCCCACTATGTAATGGAAACTTAAAGAATAAACCCTTTGGAAAACAATTTACCATACCTACTAAATTTGATCATTCTCTAGCAAATTTCCATAGCCTAGCAATTATATACACAGTATCAGTCTACTGGAGACAGGTTGATACTATCTCCATCACCCAACAGCATGGCATTGAGGACAGATTCAAACTAGAAACAACTGCAACTTCCATCCACAGCAAAACTGACAAACTGTGGTCCACACACTCCATACACTCAAAGAAATGTTATAAACCAACTTGAGTGCCTGAGCAGCTTCTACAAAGGAATAAAGCCAGAAATAGGGCAGCACAAACTCACTGTGTCAAGAGAAGTCATGTAGTTATTGTACTAAATGTCAAGATAGTGGCTAGTCCCAAAGAGAAGGGAGCAATTCCTGGTGAGGGACAGAGGTGGGGTTTCTGGATTCTTGGCAACACTCTATCTCAGAACGTTATATGCGTGTGTTGATTCTGTGATGACTCCTTGTTCAGATTCTTCTTAAATTAAAAAGTTTATACAAATGGGCCTTTTCCATTTAAAAAATTTTATAAGTACAGCTTAAATCCTGTTTATTATCTTTAAGTTATGAACTCATGAGAAATCTAACCAGATCACTGTGTGACCTGGTACAAGCCATATAATTTGCCTGGGCCTTTGGGGGTAGCCTCCTCTGTAAAACACCTAAGGCTATCTTCTGAGACTTGGGCTGCTCAGCTCTGTTTCTCAGTCACTTACGCTCTTACTGCCCCAGGTTCCACAAGAACAATAAGGAAATAGTGACCGTCACTCTATCTTGAGATGTTTACTGAGATTTTCACACAGCAATTATGAATGATACCTCTATCAATAACCCTACTTTAATTGCCAGTATTATCATTTCCATTGATACAATAAAAGGATTCTTACCAGAAGGACCAAGAAGACTGACTGTAAGAATTCTCAAGGTAAAAAATGGATGTAGTTACCACCCAAGAGTAGCCTGTCTGATTACCCATGAATAGTTTTCTCTCTTTCTTTCTTTTTTTTTAAATGTATTTTTTATCAAGAATTTTTAAATACAATCTTTTCTCATTACAATCTTTTCTCATTTTACATAGTTATCCCTGTACCACTTCCTCCCTCCTCTCATTCCACCCTTCCCTGCACCCCATCCTCTCCCTAATCCACTCCTCAGAAAGGGTTAGGTTTCCCCTGGGCAGTCAGTAAACTCTAACATTCCCCTCACCCCTCTATATAGAATGAGCGAGGTATCCCTTCAAAGAGGATGTGCTCATAGACACCAGTTCAAGCAGTAGGGATAAATCTGGTCCCACTGCCAATTGGCCCACAGAAAACCCACATTCAGTAGGCCTAGTTTGATCCTATGCTCATTCCAGTGCTGTCAGTCCAGAGTGAGCTCTGACCAGCTGTGCCTGAACACACCCGGTCTCATCTGATCTTGGAGGTTTTCTCTCTTTCATACACAGAAAGATCTTAGTGTAGGAAACCTCCATGCTCTCCCATTGGATCGCCTCTGCCAGACTCGGAGCCTTCGTCTTTTTGTCCATCTCTTATAATCACAAGTCATAATTACAAAACTCAATGATTTTTAAAAAGTATACAAACTCAGACACATCAAAAAATTTTAAATACCTCAATATCAACAAGTAAAACTCAAAATTCTCAACTATAGAAACTTAATCAAACACACGCTAGCCAAGCACTCTAACCAAATCGCCAAACACATTCTTAAGTGAACTCTGATTTGTTCTTTATCAATAGGTAGTTTTCATTGATAGCAGGCATTTCACTGCTCAGGGGTCATAAATTCATATGCATTTTTAGAACAAATACGTGAAACTATTTTACCAATGCTAAAGCTTCTTAACCTTTGATCAATATGGAGAGGCTGAGGAGATGGCTCAGATGGGAAAGTAATTACCACCAAATCAAAAGGACCTGAGTTCTACCCTCAGCACCTACATAAGAAGCAAAGTATGATGTGCCCTTCAACTCTGGCAAAGGGAGTCAGAGTCGGACACACTCCCTGCAGCTTGCTAGCCAACAGCCTAGATTAAAAGGCAAACACCAGGTCCAAGTGAGAGACTCTGTCCCAAAACCAAGGTGGATCACTCTTGAGGAATGATGTTTGAAGCTGCCTTCTGGACTCCACAAACACATATATGTACACAGGGTACACCCACACCTGAGCACATAACCACACACACACACACACACACACACACACACACACACAACTTCTAAAAGTTTCATTTAAAACACCGGAAAAGAAGGGTAATGTAGATCCCGGTTATATATGTAACGCAGCAGAGGGGAACTCATCAAGTTGAGAGTAAAATGTTGGTTTCCAGATGTTTGTGCAGGGTGCACGGAAATGTAAAGTTGACCATAGGATTTCAGATGGACAGAGAAAATATTTTAAGATCTACTACACAGCAAAGTAACTACAGCCAATCGTAATGAACATCACATCTCAAAACAAGAAAGTAAATTTCAGAAGTCTTACCATAAAACTATATGAGTCAACCAAACCATGGATGTTTATTTACTGAGTTAAAACAATTCCACATTGTGCAAATATATCAATATATCAAATTATCCCCCTTAAACATATCCAATTACAGTTTGAATCAATAAAAATATTGATTTAAAAATCCACCGGATAAGGAAGGACCATCAAGTATCCTGAGAGGGGGGTAATAATTTAATTATAAAAGAAACTAGTTCTAAGAATGAAAAATTGATATATATTATATCAGAATACATATCATATTTATATTTTTAAAAAGAAGAACCTGATTTATTGGCTGCCACTGGTTAGGTTTAACACCTTGCCACCCAAAACAGCTGGGTGTGGTGGTGCACACCTTTAATACTCTCTAGGCCAACCTGATCCAGGACAGCCAGAGCTATATAGTAAGACCCTGTCTCATAAAAAAAAAAAATAGAAAAGACTTGAGAACAAGTTGTTGGGATGGGAGAAAAGACTGATTGGGGACTGGGAATACAACTGGGTAGAGAGCTTGTTTAACAGACAAGAAGTCCTGGGTTCAATCCCAGCATGGTAAACATGGAGTGTTCCTGCACTAGGGAGGTGGAGGGAGGGAGGATCCTAAGCCTGAAGTCTTCTTTGGCTGCATAGCAAGTTTAAAGCCAGCCTGGGCTCTGCCTACAAAAGAAAACCAGCAACCCTCCCCCCCAAAAAATGGAAGGCTTTGGTCAACAAAGGTTGTCTTCATTCAGCTGCAGCTTTAAGGTCTTTGTACCCCACACAAAGGAAGGAAGGAAGGAAGGAAGGAAGGAAGGAAGGAAGGAAGGAAGGAAGGCTTAGGTTAAGGAAGAACTGATGGCTAAATACATCTAGGCACTGCTATGACAGTCTGGAAGAAGACCAGTAGAACCTACTAGCTGGTGATCTGTGGGTCATGATGTCCCTCTCAGTCCTGAACATATCTTCTCATTTTGGTGACTTCAGTCTTGGGAAAAGGAAAGAATCAGGTCACTACGGAAGAAGTCAATCTCTTATTAATGTCTCAGACAAAATTTCATAAATTATTAACAGGACTACCTACAGAATTAAGTGGAAATATTACCCAAAAGTTAAGTTAGAAACAGGTTGATCAGCTGGGTGACCTCCAAAGAGAGTGATTGTTGTGTGTGCAAATGTATACGTGTGGCTGTATTTGTGAAAGGCAGAAGTTGATGCCGGGTGCCTTTCTCAATTGTTCTTAACCTTGTTTTCTGAGACAGGGTCTCTCATTGAACCTGGAGTTCACCGAGTGACTAGTCTGGCTGGGGAGAAAACCCCAGGCATCCTCCGGTCTCCACTGCTCCAATGTCCAGGGCTGTGATTATGGATATACACCGTTATGTCTAACTTTGAGGGATGGGCACTGGAGGACCAAACTCAGGCCTTCACAGTCATGTGACAGACATTTTACTACCTGAACCAACTCACCATCCCCCTATTTCAGTGACTAAAGTCAAAAAGAAGCCAAGTAAAACTAGAGTTTAAGTTTTTCCTTGGTTCTAATAAAATATGAACTATTAAAAGAAAGGAAGGTAATTAAGAAAACATTGTAAGCTGTATTTTGTAAATCATAAAAAGGTCAATACAGTATCCATTTAACAAAAAAAAAAGAGGGTTGAGACTGTATTGGTAGACTTAATGGAATTGAAGAGGGGGATCTGATCTATCTGTGTGTATTTGGTTAATGGTGAGAGGGCGAAGGAGGATGTGGTAGAGACTCAAGCTAAATCATTATCCACGGAAGAAAGCCAATATATTTGGGAAAACTGGGAGGCTTCACCCACCCCCCAAAAAATAACAAAGTATGGTTCTTTCAAAAGCAAAACTATATTCTGGGGGGAAAAGAAACTATTAAAGATAATTGTTAAGGGAAGTCAGCTGAAGAATAGGGGCTGAAGTAGACGTTTTGGGTAAATTTCATATGCTTTTATAAAAGCAACTAATTAAAAAGGAAAGAGTCAGATCAAATAATCTCAGACATTAACATCTTTTTTAGGAGATTATCAAGTTTTCTTTCTCTATTCTTTGGTATTCTTAGTCTGTCTATGATAATCACATCTTTAAAACAAGTACTTTCTTGTACCAAAGATGCTGGCGTAGGAGTAAAGGATTTACATAGGCTCCTGATCAACATCTCCATCTTCAATGGGTTGTGTAGGTGCCGTGTTCAGCAATGGGGCCTTGTGGTAAGTCTATGGAGAACAACCTATAGTCCTCGCAGCAGCCTAGGTTGTTTGGGGATTCCCATGGGGACACTTTGGCCAACAACTCAATTCAATGTAACCCAGTCTCAGTATTAGAAGCTTCATTTGGTGACAGGAGATAGTCCACTTTGAACTCTGTCCCCCCTCCCATTACCCCATTATTTGCTGGTTTCATTTAGATCACCAAAGTGGGATTCCCCTCTGTATGCTGTGAGACCCTGAAACACGCATCCCTAAATAGGATGTCTCCATCAAATCCCTCCCCTCAGATCTCAGGGAACCCTATAGAGAGGAGGTGGAAAGAGTGTGAAAGCCAGAGGGGATGGAGGATACCAAGAAAACAAGACCCCTCAATCAACATGAGCAACACTCAAATGAACTCACAGAGACTGGAGCAGCATAAACAGGGCTTACACGGGTCTGCACCAGGTCCTCTGCATAAATATTATGGCTTCTGGTTTAGTGTTTTTACGTGATTCCCGAGTGAGCCAAAAGAATGGATCTCTAATTCTTGCACCTTCTCTTAGGTTCTTTACCGTCTGTTGGTAGTCTTGTCCAGCTTTGGTGTGATAGTTTTTTGTTTTATCTAATTATATTCTACTTAGTTATATTTTTTTAATGAGTGAAAACCTAGCTGCTAGGGTGAAGGTTAACAACTGAAGCTTCACTGATACCTACCGGGAGTGGAACAATCAATCAGTTTCTCCAATAGAGAGATACTGGGTGTATCAACCAACCAACCAAC